CTGGGGGGATTCCCTCTTTGTCTTGGATCTTGGCCTTCACATTTTCGATAGAATCACTTGCCTCTACCTCAAGGGTGATAGTCTTACCAGTGAGGGTTTTCACAAATATCTGCATTTTTGCCTGAAATATTGAAAATATAACGATTATGATTTTTTGATGTAGGGTTGATTTTTGTAGGTTAATCACACAATATCAGTCCTATGCTGCCTAATACTAGCTCTAGTACTATAGCCCGCGTACAGTTGCCGCAGGGCTATAGAACATTTTATGCTAGGTTTCGCAACTGCACCTGTTCCCCAAAGCTTCCACGAAAAATCGCTCACAAAACGCAAAATTATCAGGCTTTTTAACACTTATCTATCTACATGGACATCTCACCTACCTTTTTGAACACTTTCCACAACTTTACACCATGTATTTATGCATTTATTCCTCAAAGTCTTTGCACTACTTCCAGTTCCGTTTGAAATGCTGTTGTGTACACGCGTGACGTCACCCGAAATGTAATAGGCTGCATCATAGCTGCCATGTGTTTTGCCTACAGATCCGGTGATGTCACGCGTGCGCACGCCACATCATTTCAAACAGAATTGGAAGTAGCGCTAAGACTTTGAGGAATAAATGCATAAATACATGGTGTAAAGCTGTGGAAAGTGTTCAAAAAGATAGGTGAGATGTCCATGTATGATGTAGATAGATAAGTGTTAAAAAGCTCGATCATTTTGCGTTTTGTGACCGATTTTTCGTGGAAGCTTTGGGGAACAGGTGCAGTTGCGAAACCTAGCATAAAATGTTCTATAGGCCTGCGGCAACTGTACGCGGGCTATAGTACTAGAGCTAGCCTAATACTAGCCACAAGTTCCCATCTCGCTAATAACACTACGTCCTCCGCCGTGTAACAGTCGGAGAGCCTGGTCGGTTTAGCCTAATACATGATCCTAAGCTTACTCGTCTACTTTTCCACGTTAACCTCAACCGCATAGATATTAGGGCCCAAGGATAGAGAACATGGGTCCCAATAAAACCAATGTGCCTAACCCTAATCCTAACCCTAACCCTAACCATAACCCTAACCTATTATATTGATATAATATTATATTTATATTGATCAGTGCTCGAAATAAGAAAAAAAATGTCCGATCCTGCGGACAACCCAGGCATCAAATCGGGTTGTCCGCAACAATTTCTGGTTTTCCCAAAAAATATCCCCAAATCTCCTATTTTCAATCACATAATAATATGGTCAGAAAACACCCAAAAACAGTGGTGTAGCCAGGATTTTTTAACAAGGGTGGCCAAAAACAGCAAACTGCGCAAAATAGTGGATGACTTAATATTTTAATGGCCCATCGCCTCCCTCTCCACACCCTACGGCTCCTCTACCTTCTCTGCAATCTTTGTTTTGGGTGCCATGTGAAAAGGCGACATTTTTGTTCATTGTTCTCTGCTCCCAAGATATGTAATTGTTCAGTGGCGGGTCTAGTATCCCAAGGAGGGGGTGAAAAACAAGCGGGGGGGTATGGGAGTCCCCCATAAAATTTTGAAAATGTAGATCGCAGGAGATGGTATTTGCAGCACTTTCGAGTA